GCAGGACGCTCACAGACCTTATTAAAGGAAGCGATCGCGCTGGCTTTCATGTGGAGATAAAATTCCACGCGTTGTTGACCGAAGGACTCAGTTGAAAGCTTAGATGAGTTTCGTCAAGGCAAAGCCACAAGATAACTGAAATCGGACTATAGCGAGGATTTTAACATCTGTCAACTGTACACTCGTTGCGTCCCCTTCGACGCCCAAACATGGGCGTTGATGAGTTTCGGAAGTTCATTCCAACGCCTTAATACGCCGTTGATTAGGCACCATGGGATTTCTCGCGACTACTTCCTTCAAAGGTGCACTTAAAATGAGGTGTTTATTAATTAACTTCTCCTTGTTGTTAGAGAGCCCACAGGAGTGCTCTCTACATACTAATAATAAGATAACAAGGAATGCCCAAAAACTTCATTTTCATTCAGACGGTGTCAGTTCTGCTCGAAAATGAAGCTGAAGAACAGACAGTGAAGAAAAAATAGAAGGAAAAGTCCATATTCTTGTGGAGTCGAGCGTGGTACGATGGATAGACACAATGTGATAGGAGAAGCAACGTGCGAGAGAGTACGTCGTATGAGAGATCACAGACAAAGGATAAAGGATAAAGCATTTGCCGTTGATCAATCCCTTTTGGGATGCGGCACGCATTCTACTTCCATTTGTACATTCGTAGTGGCGTTTGAATGCGATGTGGCCTATACAATGACTTGCGGGGGCCAGCCGATGTACAAGTCAGTGTTTTTATCCTCCCAGACAAGTCTGGTACCAATTAACCGACCCCGGAGGGATGGAAGGCTTGGTTGGCCCGGGCGACTCACGACCCAGGATTTGATCCCCGGACCGCTCGCGTGGTAAGCGTGCCACTTGCCACTACACCACTTCCGCCCTACATCGCATAATACGAAAAACTAAAAACGGGAGCGGTCGCAGTGGTCAAGAGAAGTTCTTACCGCTCGCCGTGGCACTTTCGAGTGGAGACAAAACCCCGACTTCTGTACTCGGGAACCACTCTGCGTCACTTACGAAGGGACAACCCCGTGCCTTTGAACTGTGACTGAGTTGCTTTACACGTCTCTAACTCTACACATCTCACACAATAAACATATGTACGGGGATACGTAGTGCCCATAATGCGGTCGATTTCGCAATGCAGCTTTAGCTTTAGGGGGAGGGGAATGGAGTTCCTTTTACGTGTCCGTGGTTTGGTTTTGTTTTTTTTTGATGGAGCAGTGCGATCCTATGAGAGCGTCGGCTGCCTCTATACATTGCTAATTTGCTGGCTGAGTTTTCGTAATTTGTTTCATCTATTTTCTGCAAAACTGTATCCTGATCCTTCAACGGAAGAACTAACTGCGACCATTGCCGTGTACATTAATTAACGTCACAAACCCCAAAAATACCAAAATTTCCCGTTTCACTTGAGGCATTTGTAACCACTACAGGTCTCACGGGCTGTTTTGTAAGGGATGGCACGGTTCATCTCGAAATGCTTTCATGTTTTCCAAACGATGCTCCCGCTATGGAGATTTGTAATTCATGCATTTCACCCTGCCGCAAATCCTGCCTGTTGATAGAGAATATCATTTTTGCCCGGTACTACTCGGAAAAATCTTGAAAGCTGACTCACTGTTTTGGAAACTCAAAATTATATCAAAGGTTCCTATATAGCGTGTACTTTAGAGTGTTGCAGTCTGCTGCTCATCTTAATTTGCCTGTTTCTGAAGTTGGCACAGGACTGTTTTTTAATATTTGAGTTCTGCTACACCATCTCTGTTTTGCGCCAAAAGACCGACTGAACAGGCAATATGCCTATAGCACAATACCCTATTGTATCGTGTGTTATCGATGCATTGTAGTAAATCAGTGCAATTTTCATTGGAAACGCTGGCTGGAGGGAATGACAGGGTTGTGGTGCAGTGAGCAATTGAAAACTATTCACTCATGAAATCCAAAACTTTCGAGGCGATTTTAGGATCGCTCAAAAGCACAACCCAGGCAGAAGTCGCGTGAGAGATTCCTTTCGAGTTGTAGGATGGGAAGTTAGAGGGCAATCGCAGATGTGGTGCGTGTGCACAGATTTCACCCCAAGAGCGCTAGGGCCTTGCAAAGTAAGCTGCTAATGCTGCAATTATTTTCTATTTTATCAGACTGTTGTCTGGCACCTCTCTCATCTGTTGCGCTCTCTCGCCTCATACTCTCCTCTCCGCGCTTAGTCTCTCATTCCTTAAAGCCGATAACGAAGGTGAGTGGGCCCTTAACAATAGTGTGCAAGAATACCACCAATCTGATCCCGGGGCATGCCTTTGAGCATTCGAATGGATTTTTGTGCCAGTGTTTCGCGAATCGAATACAACGCAATGATACTATGCCTGAGCGAAATGGTTATTTATATGCACTTCATGGATTCGATCAGTTGATGGTCCGAGAACATGAAATGCATCGGCTAGGTCTTTTGGAAGGACTGCGCGAGTCATCGACGACACACCTGCCTTCATTTTCATCCTCTGAAGGGACAACTCTGAAGTTTTCTCCAGTAGGTGAGCAAGCGTAGTCTATGGTTTTGTCTCCTCAGAAAGCGTTATAGCAGACTAGACTTTGCGCTCATCTTGTCTAAATTTTCGCTTCTCTAATCTGCTAAAACCAGCGGATCAGCCCTTGTGCGATGTCTGACGTACGGTTTCATTTTGAGTAGCAGCTCGTTCCAATAAGCCGGTCACGAGAGACTCATCGCGCAATTCCCTTAATGGAATCGGGATTTGCAGGCTAGAGCGCCATGTATGGAAATAGCTTCTTCATATCTGTGTAACGACTGAGAAATAGGCATCTATTCAGTGAAGTCCTTCAGGGCGAGGAGCGCTCTTTCAAAAGGGTATGCTGCACATTATTGGAGTACAAACTGACTTGGAAACGTACATTTTTTGAGCCTTTCGGGATTGCCAGAAAAGCTTTTTTCGGGAGGAACTTCTGCATTTTCAAAAGTCACTATAGTATTCGCAAAAATTTTTCTTCAGTGGTGGTCGAACCTCCAACCAATATTTTTTAGATATTTTTTCGCTCCTAGAGCCGCCCAGAGAAACGATCTTCAATTTCTTGCTCCATGTGGGTCTCCTTATAATGTGCAAAAAACCGTTGTGTAAAAGGCTAAAAGACTTTCCTGGTAAGGTCCTTAGACATTCTTTACGATTACTTATCACCGTCAAAAGTCGTTTTCGTAGTCGTTTTTTCGATTACCTCTTCTCTACTGGCTTTCACATAAATGTCACATAAATGGTTATAAATAGCAGATTTTTGTAATTTTAGGTAATGGAGAAAATCTCGTAAATGCCGAATATCAGCGTGAAGCGTGCTGAAAATAGAGCAGACTATCATAACAAATTATAGTAAAATGTAATCAAACTCACGCATCAGTATTGCATAATCAGAACTCACGCCATTCATATTGCATTTACCTAGAGCCTGCACCGTTTCGGAGAAGCGCTGTCCCATGCTTTTCGAACGAGGGCTTGTCCCTGCTCAAAGTTGAAGGCAAGTGTTGCGATTTGGATGTAGACAACACATTTGTTTCGATAGATCTGTCTTTTTATTAGGTAATAGCCACCGGACCACCTTCATAAATACTGTTACATACCTCTTCAATAGCAGACTCTTGTTGAAGTTTCGGCCCCTCATGTTGTGGGCTTGCTCACTTGTCACTCTGCTGTGCCCCCAAAAACCTTTATCAATAGGGACATCAGCAAGGGAAATTGAAGGAAAAACCGTTCGCTATCAAAATTAGGAAGCTGATGTTTCACTTCTGCAATTATGCCTTATCAGTACTACTTCCTATGTGGTAATGTGGTAGTCTTGCTACATCTTAATCGTCAGAAACAAGTCGAGCCTGAAAATTAGTTGTCATCAGAAACACGTAATATGCTGCTAGGAAAACCAAAAAAACTGGATCATAACTGGTTTTGGCCATCCTGAGTGTAACGGTGCGACAAATTTCGAACTTTCATTAACGTTGACGACAGCGTGACGCGGTAACGCGTCCCACTTTGCGCACCTCGTGGGACATTGTGACGCGGTAACGCGTCCCACCCAAGTCATCCCTTTTTCTTGCGCTTGTGCGACTTATTCCTAAGGTCTTTGTACTCATTCTATAGGTCATACATTAGCATACTTAAAAACCACATGGCTCACAGAAAGGCCAAATATTCTTTAGTTTGGCAGAGGTTTTCCAGACCTTACGGGTATGCCTGTTCAGTTCATTCCTCGTTATGGAATACTCGTCAAGTTGAATTCGTGGCTAGAACTGCGTTTGTAGACCTATAAATTCTTCTCCCATTGCAAACATTTCAGATGATCTCCATAGGTGTGATGGTGATGCTCTGCGTTGTTCTATCAATAACCTGTGTTATTGTTTGGATGCTGAGGTGGCGCCGCAGTTTGGTACGGAAGGCGGGACAAGCTGATCACCAATGTGACGACGAGATCTCCTACACGGAAAATGTGTATGAAACTTTTGTTTTATTTATAATAAGGGCAGAAAATAAAGAACGGAGGTAAAAATGCTACGCACACGAAAATTAATCGGAAAGGAGCATTTTCTTTTGGATTATTAATTGGCCAGTGAGAACTTTCCGGAAAACAAGTCACTAAATTAGACTGTCGCATGGCATGGCGACTGGCATGCAGCTTCCATTGTGAATCGAAGTCTACCAAAATGGCAAATTCTTTTCTACAACCATCTGCAATGCTGATGGGAACATCGTTTTCAGCAAGCCTCGTACAAAATCGTCCTCCAAACGTGCCGTCGCCGACAGTGTCCCCTCACCGGCTCGCGCAGACAGCGTCGAAGGCGAAAAATCGCATAGAAGCAGCAGTTACAAATGTAGCACATCTGCCGAACAGCTGAAACAGGACGATATTGTGGCTCAGGTGAGTAATTTTCCGCACTGGTGCAATGAAGAACGGACGAAGAATCTCAGTGACTGAAGTGAATTAGGAGTGTGATGACAACAGAGCCATAGAGAATGGTCAGCGGTCTGATTGGATTGAATCTCGCCCAAGCTAACTTAGGTCACATAAATCTTTGTGTGAGCTGAATACTCTTTCAAATGCTACCGTTGAATCGGATGAAAGTCGAATAGGTAGCGCATTTGAAACAGAAGAAATGCCAACACCGAGAGCGTTATCTTTTCAAATGGATCTGGCATTGGTTTGGAGTACTCAGGCAGATCCCAAAACGAACTGAGATCTCTGAAATATACTATCAGCAACTGACACTCCCCAGTCAATACTAATGGAAACAATTCCAGGCTGAACCAAGACCGTCACAGACGTACGTGTCAAAGCCTTTGGAGAGGATAAAGGAGGAGGCGATTTCCGTTAAAAACGTTAGTCCGCTTCTGTTTGGTGCAAATACAAAAGATACAAAAGCGGACCATTGTGCTTTATAGAAACGCCTGGACACGGTCTCGGTTATGTCGTCGGTTGAGACATTGCAGCGCAACGACTCAAAGGTAAGGAATGTTTTGAAATGCTTTTTTCAAAACCAAATTGAAGATTCCTGCGCAGCACTTTCATGTGTACAACAGTCGTTCGAGTTCCATCATCCTCATTTGTTTGTTTGTTTGTTTAATTCTTGTTATACTTGTTTATTATTAATTACGTTGCGTAAGGCAAAGTGAGAAGCAACAGTCATTGCGATTCAAAAACTTTAATGAAAAAAAGTAGACGATTCAACAACTTGCACAATAATGTACTTTTTAAACATGGTGCGGGTACAGACGATTCAACAACTTGCACAATAATGTACTTTTTATACATGGTGCGGGGTAAGCAGGTGAATCTCATCAGGAAAATATCCTTCGGTATACATATTATGATCGCCGGTGATAATTGTTCTACTATATTCAACTAAAATTGCGACCTGTCATGCTTCGCTCAGGAAATTCTATGATTTGGCACATTACGCACTTTCCACACCTTAGCACCACTGTAAAATCCAGATAGATCTGATCTATTGCAGCGAGTGCTGACCAATAGGTAACAATAATGAAATACAGATTTACTCTGATGGAATGAGGACATTGGGTTGGTTTTGTGGCTTGGTATCATAGAAGAAGAACGAAAATGGGGATGTCAGGGTGCTTTAAAGTTTAAGAAAACAAACAACAAGGCCAATTTCCAAATTGGCCTAAGATTGCATTGAAAAAGGAGCGATATAGTCCAACCAGCCCATTCACCGGCGTGTTGTTGGTAAACGGCTGATTCATACCTGACAGGCACATAGAGTTTTGGCCTTTTTGAGCCTATGGACCTTCATCTTGAAGGGATTTCTGATGCACAATCCACAGTCTTTAATACCAACCACTGTTTAGGAGCGACTCTTGTTACCGTGGTTTGTGACCACCCTACGTATATAATTTTGCAAAACTGGCAAAGAATCTTACTTTCAAAAATAGGAAGAGAAAACATGCGTGTTCTTTGTAAAGGAAAATTGTGTTGATACCCCAAATCCTATTAACAATTAAGCACATTTTTCCTCGAAGACTATTTCAGAAGCTTCCTATTATACTGATTTTCAAGAACTTCAGATGTACTCAAAATTACTAAGCAATAATTCTCTCCACTACTACATGAAACGCTGGTGTGTTGGTTTCTCGTATATGCTCGCATCCATTCCAAAAAATGTGCACTTTGCAATCGATCTTTCATTATGTCACCAATTAATAGTGGAAATTCGGGACAGAGTTGCTCTAGAGCCGTTCGTGTACGGCGAGAACAGCTTGTAATACTATGCTGAAATTCGTCATTAATTTTTGGTGGATATTTATTTAAAATAAAATAAAGGGCTATCAAAATATCTCAAATAGTTTTGACTTGAATAGTATTGTTTACAAAAGGTACAGGCTGATCCAGCATATTCAGGTGAACGTATTCCCGGCGGACAAAATGGAAGAAATTGACTTGAATCCTGGCCTCAACAACGTCATCAATTTGGAAACTATCTGATACATGCAAATGGAAAGAGTCCCCATGATCTATGTCAGCCGAAAAGCAATATCCTAATCGGTGATAGCTCTCAGTTTGTATTTTACACAGATCTCATCAACGGTAATTGTAGCGGTGCGCTTTGTGAACTTTCATTCAGGGCTAGTCCTACTTGAGAAATGCTCCAGCGTGCACCCCATCCTTTTTTGTTGAGGTCCAATCCTTTATTATGATCAGATTTAACCTCACCTAATCATTAAAGAGTCACATAAGGAAATTTAGAGCCTGCCATTCAAACTTGGAGCAACAACACCAGCAGAAATTATGGATGGGATAGTATAACAGATGTGCCGTCGCGTTGTCGAAAATGCGCGACAGTGGCGCTGAGGTTCTACAAAGCCAAGTTGGCGACTAATCTTAACACATAAACGTGAACTTAACTCATCGCACACACCCCGTGATAAGTAGCGTGGATTACGACGCAGCAGCTAATTCAAGTTTGCGCCAAATTCGCGCGCATAGTGAAGCGGTAGAGCAAAGTTTGTACAGCTCGTCCGACCCCGCCCTTCCTTTTCAAGGGAAATTCTTGCTAAGGGCGACGGCTTTGCTTGTTTTTCTTCATTTGTTAGTCAAATCGACACCCACACTTCATTATCCCCACAAATTTGATCTGGGTCTGACCTGTGGGTGTTGCTTCGAGTCCATCGTACCTCCACAAACTGGGTTGTAACATGTGCAGCCCCCTCGAATTCTTGTAGATTGCTCATTGACGTATATCTGTTGTATATGGTTTTTGTGTCTTTTCCGTTTTATCAAATTGAACTCCTCAAGTATCGTGCAGAAGTGATAATTCTCTCCTCCTCTCTCGGATGACCGGTTTGATCTGCACATTTACTCAGTTTCGTGAATTCTTCGTTATTGTTTCATCCTCCTTGTTTTCTCAATCAAACATCGCCTTGCTTTGGTAACCCTGTGATCTCACTGTGTTGGGATGTAAATTCGAATGTGTGTGTGTTCTTCTAATTAAGTGCTCATAATAAATTCTAAACGAATGAGTCCGAATGTGACAAAATATTTGATCAAATATTGGGCTGCCCGCAATTCTTGGCCGACTTTAGTTCATATTCAAATTCCCTTAAATCAATATTGCGAAATATTTGTGTTCGTATGCCGAGAAATGCATGAATACCTTTAAAGAGGAGGTTTCAAAGGCAAACCCCGGGATTAGCCCGACTAGTAGGAAGGATACCGCGAGGGAAATTGTAAGGTCCGTACCTACCTAGATCACTCCAGCTTCGTCGCAAAAATTGCGCGGTTAGGGCGCTAATCCTTACGGGCCTGCAACCATCGACCCCCGTTGCAACGCTTCCCACCCACCGCGAGAGATGGTGAGATCAGCGTGCTCTCTCAAACGACGTGCTCTCTCGCGTTTTGTCTTCTTTGATCGCCCTGTCTCGCCATCGTACCACATCCGACCTTATTGAAGGTTAAGGCCTTAATTTCAGCGTTCCCAAAGATTCTCTTGCTTTCCTTTCCACTTTCAGGTCGTTCCGCAGCTAAGCTATCACTACGAAGCGCTCTAGCACCAGTTAATCCCGGGGTTTGCCTTTAAAGGCAAGCGCGCAATGGGATAACTAGCTAGAAGTAGGAATAAATCAACGATAATAACGAGCGTTATGCCTTACGAACATCAAATCCTGCAATGTAGGCGAGATCAGCGTTGTGTTGCGCCCAATCTCTCAGATGCTGAGCTATTGACTTAACTCCATCGGCAAGGCTACGAGCTGCGCAGATTAACGTCAACCTGAACCTCCAAGCATTTTTGATGCGTGTCCTTGAGGCCATAAATTAGAAGTGCACATGAACCCCAATACCGAAGATTTGAACGACCGAGAAGCACGTGGGACCGACTTCAGCCCTGTGACCGATACTGTAGACACAGAACTTTTCCCAGTTGATCGCGAGTGAAAGTGAGGCGTAAGTTCACTACATACAACAACAACACGTGGCACGCCTATAATCTACCTCACAGCCAGATCTCACCAGCTCAATCAAAGCTTACTCTCCATGTTGGGTTAATAGTACTCTCGATCTGGTGGATTGAGTAGGCATCTTATATTGCGAAAGTATTGCGGATGCTACTGAGAAATAAGCCTGATATACATAGAGGTTTGCCTCAGGAGTGCGACAGAACCGTCTCAAATGTCCCATAACCTCCTTTCTCCGAATGAAGGCCCCACCTCACATGGAAAAGATAGCTCCCATTGTTTCGAGGGCAACTGTCTCGACTTCGATGTGATATGCATACAGGGTGGTCGAAAGTATAGGACGCGGCTTTGACAGCTTGCTGGCACTGAGCCGTGGAGTATTTTCAGTGTTTCGAAACTCTTCGAAAGCTGAAACTATATGTAAGAAGCACCATAAGTTGTTTGGTCCAAAGTTCATCTGAACTCTCGCCATGGATTTTTTTGCATCGACCCATTACCAAGAGGCTGCCCAATGACGGTCTCTGAAATTGCAACTTCGGAAAGCGACTCGGTATTCCCTCTTCAACTCTTTGAAACATGTTCGGTGCTCTCAAGGTTCAAGCACACGTCTCTGGGATTGCGAAAAGTGGAAGTTCAAGAACTGTGCACACTCAGAGGATTGGGGCAATCACCTAGAAGAGGATGGCTCACAACGATGAAGCCAGCGTGAGTCACATCGCTTTTGATCTCAGGATCTGCCGTCACTCCTTCCAGAAAATCTTGGGAAGCAATCATTATTTGAAGAGGTTACCGACTCTTTCTATGCTGGTTTTTATTGGAGCAACCCGAATAGATTCAACTGATAAAATGCAAAAAGTTTCACGAGCTCGAGGTGCGCCGCATCTCTCTTACGGATTGGGTTAATGAGAAAATTTTCGAACTAAACTTCTTTGCGACCACCAAAGTCAGAGGCAGTTGTTGCCAAAAAGTGAGAGCAAGTCTTCCGAGATAACGTCTAGTTCACAGTAAACTTTTTCCCGAAGGTGTAGTCCATTGGAGTTCGTCTTCCACAAATGTTCAAATTAACTCGAAGACTTGCAAAAGACTTTAATGAGGTACGGTATGTTGTTCTGGATTTACGAGCATTTTGCTCAATGATCGTTTGCTCTTCAATGAAGCTGGGCTCCCTAATACGCGTTCAAATCGACCAAGCCATCCTGGGCGCTCACGGGCCACTGGAGCAAGGAATTGTGACCTTCTCCCTCTCAGGCCCTTAACCCGATGGACTCCTCTATGTGAGGATGTTGTAGAGCAAGACCTCATAAGACTTCTCCAGCTCGGTGGGTGCTCTGAAGTTAGCGCTTCAGAAGAGGTGGGACGACATCGCCGTTGGCTACCTGCGGCGCACTGCTGATTTTGTCGTTGAAAGGCAAAGTTCGCGGATTTCTGGCGAAATTTAGGTTTTCCCCGTCAAATATGCAGTACGCAAGGGCAGACCATGTGCAGAAGTGGCGGGGCGATTTGACAAGGTTTAGGCGCTAGGAGCCTAGGTTGGAGCATTGGCGCCGCCCCAACCCATTGAGCCCGCCCACTGTTCCATGCGACCTTCCAAACAACCACATGGAACACTAGATGTTAAGTTGTTATTTGGAAGGTCGTAGAGGAATATTTAGCGGATTTCAACTGCGAAAACCAACATCAAAGCCTATGTTAAGACCATTATCGAGAACCTAGTCATTCATTCTAGTGATAATCAAATTTTTGAGATAGGAAAAAAACAAAAAACACAGGTAAATAGAAAAAATAGCGAAATTAGAAGCAATCAGTTTTCATTGCTGACTTTTTGTAGCCGTGTCGGTTGCTGGCATAAAGCCAACAGTTGCTGTAGACACGTCCAGACACGTAATTCTCCCAGCCCTGGCTTCTAAGCGACTAACGAAGAGAATTTCTTATTTTGGACTTCTTTTGGGAGTACTTCCTGCTTTTTTCTTTAGCTTCGATTCACTTAGCACCCAGTACTTCATAATTGAACAGGTAAGTCCCTCGGTCAGCCGAATAGCAACTGGTTCTCACGATAGACTCCGTTCAAACGGTCAATATGGCAGAACAACAATTCGATAAGAAACAAATTTATTAACAAACGACACGAATTATGACAAACACACAAATACGAGCGATCTCGGCCACACAGGCCACTATCCGGGAAGAATAAGTTGCCTCTTCCTGATGAGGATAACGAGACGATGAGTAGAACTGGGTAGAACCCCGACCACAGACCCTGGCCCCTTTTATAGGGGGTTTCCCGCTCAACTCTGTACCACAGGCAGTACGCGTTGCCGCCCTGATCACTTTACTGGTCAATTATTGACCAGTTGCAGAGACCTGCGCTTTAGCGGTCTCTGCTCTACACTTTTCTCCGACTCCTTGTCCGACACCTCAATTTATCCCGGAGTTTGCCTTGAACGTCAGAAGGCCTCTCTCAAAGCAGAGAATTCGAAGCACCTTCTGCAAAAGTGATTAAATAGCTGAACTCTATCTTCGTAAGTCGATCTCCTGATGAGTCTCTTCTTAGCTTTTATATACAAAAACATGGCGTCCTATATGTTGAAAAAGAGTCACGGAATCCTAATGCTAAGCTACCGACAGTGACTAAGTGTCGTCTCCGATCGTTACTTATTCGAAATAGCAGAAGAATAGCTCGTGATGTATTTGGATCATCAAGAACTCGATATTGACCAGTTCACGTCGACCGACGAAAAGGATCTCATGTTTTGCTATTTGGGTGGTTGATTCTGGAGAGACCTTGGTCGTGACCTGCAGATGTGCTCGAAGAGACAATTCGGAAGATGTTCATCAAAGGTCTGGGGTGGTTCCAAAAGGAGGGGGACATTGAGTTTGGCTTGCCAACATGTCAGGTAGACAACTAGGATTATAATGAGGTGCTTGAGTCCCGGCTACAACCTTTTTCGAAAAGTCATGTCGCAAATCACTTGTTTTGCAGGGAGGTCCCTGACACCATTCCATTTGGAAAAATGCTAAACGCAACGGCTTTGA